GCCTCAGCCTCCCAAGTGCTTGGATTACAGGCATGAGCCACCATGCCCGGTTCTGGCTTTGCAAATTTTCAAAACAAAAATTTGAAAGCAAGTGTGAAGTGCGAGATTAGTTGGACCCACTGTATTGTGTTTAATTCTCTGAATTTTGAGAATCTGCTTCCTTCTGCTCTTCAGGTTGTCCTGGAACTTGCGGGCTCAAAAGCTCCTGTGCCCTGAGTAACTAAAACTGTAGATGCACACCGCCATGCTTGGCTGAGCTGGTGTGTGGTGGAATTCCAGCACTCAGGAGGATGAGGCAGGAGGGTTGCCCGAGATCAAGGCCAGCCTGAATTACCTAGCCAGACCCTGTCTAGAAAACAAACAAACAAAAAATACACAGTTTTTTTTAAAGGTTGGAAGGATCATACAACAAACAGGAAGAGTGCCTCTCTCAGGCATTGGTAATTGCTCATTTCATTTTTTCCTCCGTCTTTTAAAGACTGTAAAAGAAATAATAAATATTCACATGAATCAGAAAATTTAAATAAACCAAAGGAACAAAATGAAATAAAGATTAATCCCAAAGGAAGGCCCATATTAGAGGTTTGCTGTGTTCCTCGGAATGTTGCTGGCTTCTAAAGATTCTGCTTTTTCCTGCCCTGATCCGACTCCCTTGGCCCCGCTGTATCAGCATCTTTCCATCTCCTGCAAACTGACACTTACCACTCACCCTCGGGATGGGGCACTCGTGTCCCACGTAAACTTTCTACTTGGGTGGCTGGCATTTCCGGTGATGACACCGTGACACTCCTGGTACCAACCAGGAGCTGAGCGCTGGTCTACATGCTTTCACCCCAACTCTACCCAAGTGGGAGCTCAGTTCAGACAAGAATGCAGGGGCCAGAGAGCCCAAGCTGTTTCCAAAATACACATTTACCATGAGCAGGACCTCTCGCCAGTGCAAGGTGACACTGCAGTCTGCTATACAGAATCACCACCGGGGACTCTGCCTTTCTGGGAGGGCAGCTTTATTTAAACTGAGTGTGGTTGGCAGACATGTGCCTGAGGCCTCCGAGCTCACACAGGCGGGCACTGCCTGGGGCTGCTCTTTCTCGGCCTCCTGGCTGCCTTGCTGTCACCTGGGTGCAGTGTGGGCATCGACTGCACATTTTGCAAGAGCCCCCTCCCATGAGTGGAGGAGCCCCTTCGTGAGGAGCCACGCAATACCAGGTTCCTACCCTGCCCGGCAGTGTGTGTGTGTGCACACACTGTGTTCGTGCTAGTTCCTCTCAGATGGTAGTAAATGAGCCCCCCCCCTTCCAGTGTTAAAAAATAAACAGATCTTGAAAGTGAGTTGCTAGAGATTGGTCAATACCATATGCAAATAAGTAAGTGCTAATTGCCCACAGTGTCTTTGGGTGTCAGGTGCAGTTATTGGACCACATTTATGGGCCAATTAGGCGCCTTACCGGACTTTAGTGGTGATAAATTGTGGCTCAGCGGCTTCTTGGAACGTGCTGCAGACGGCGGGCCAGCAGTAACTCGTCCCACTCCGCTCAGCTGGGGGTGGGCAGGGCTTTTGTTTGCTGTGTGGCCAAGCTGGGATTTGCCCTGTCACCATGTGCACCAGTCAGGGAGTGGCGGGGACCTGTGTGAGCTCTGGCTGGGACCCACACTGGTTCCTACATATGAGCAAACCTGGCCTGGGATGCCTCCTGGTCCCTGGGACTCAGGCCCTGGCTGAGGCATTGCTGGGGTGCAGTGTGGTCCCAGCACAGACCACTGCGTGCATCCTGAGCTGGGCTCTGGGAGGACAGCAGAGGCAGGAGCATCTCTGAGGAGCAGGAAGGAGGTGAAAGGCAGGAGATGTGACAGAGTCAAGAGGGTATGGGGAGGCCACTGTGAGGAGCAGCCAGGAGAGAACTAGCCATCATGGTGGACTCTCCCAGGTTTGGCAGGGAGCTGAGCAGCAGAGGATAAGTGGCAGGAGCCACTATGTGGCGCTGGGGACTGTGAATGGTGGGGGGTGGCAGAGCTAGGCAAGGCGGGCGACCTCTGGGGATCTGGATGGTGCATTCAGAATCTAGGGGCACTGGGAAGGGGTTTCAGGCAGGGAGTAGCCAGGTCAGGCCCCCTGGAGGGAGGATGGGAGGGCCAGTGGCTGAGAGGGAAGGAGGGAAGGAGGGAGGAGAACAACCCAGGATGCTCGGGCTGCAGGGGCTGTGCATACCCAGGCTGCCTGGGGTGCTGGTTTGACCTTTGTTCCTTCCATTGTGTAACGTCAGGTTCCTTCCTTACCTGAATGCCTCCTAATTTTTAATCAATTCGGTTCAGCATCAAAGTAGTTTATGAATCAATGAGCCAATTGTCTTGCCAATTTCAGCCTGAGTGAACATTATATTAATAAACAACCCAGCCACTTTCTTCAAAGTCAATGGCCAACTGCAAACGCACTTCAACACACACCTGGATTCAAAGGCCAGGCGTGGTGACCCAGGCTAGGCAGGAAGATCTCCTGGAGTTTGAGTCCCGCCTGGGCTACATAGTGAGTTCAAGGCCAGCTTGGACTAGGTAGCAAGACCTTGTCTCAAAACAAAACAAAACAGCATGTGGAGAAAAGTAATATAGTATAAAGTATAATTAATATATTTAAAGAAGTATATAATAATCACCCCAGAGAGACATATCACTATTCACATTTTGGATTTTCTTCCTGGATATAAAAATAATAAGAGATCAGTTTTACATGTACTGCTGTATCCTCATTTTAAAATTTATAGCATTTCCCCAGGTGATAAACATACTATGAAATGATTACATGTCCCTTTTTGAGGAAATCATAGTTTACTTTTTTTGTTGGTTTTTTTTTTTTTTTTTTTTTTTTTGTCTTTTTCCTTTTTATTGGTACCGGGGATCGAACTCACGACTGCCTGCTTGCAAGGCAGGTGCTTATGCCACTGAGCTAAATCCCCAGCCCCGAAATTGTACGTAGTTTACTTAACTGGCTCCCTCTCGTTAAACTCAGTTTATTTCCAATTTTTTGTTGCAAATATCACAGTGGTGAACATCTTGGGTGTAAATGTTGTACACTTAGGTTAGTCCTGGGCCCTGGGACACTTGTCGGGACCCTACTGTGGGAAAGGCTTCCGGGGCCCAAGGATGATATTCTGGTGAATGGGAAAAACTGAACAGGGGAAATCATTCTTTCTAAAACTTTGTTCTTTTGAAACCACCTAGCTCTGTCACTGCTTCAAGGCTCTGTGATCTGTCTTGATCCCAATAACCACAAGAGTGTAACCGAACATACAGGGCACCTGATTGTAACTGATGACCATTAATTCAGGCTTGCAACCAATGATCTCACACTGCAAGCTCATCAAAGAACTGCCGGGCCCTTCTATCCCACCTTTATACCTCCTGCTTGTGCATCACATAAAAGCCCTAGACCACCTGAGATCAGGCCTGATATTGTGGGAATGATGCTCATCGGTGCCCGTCGATGTAAAGAAACCTGCCTCCCAACCCCAGGTGTTTCGGTGCTTCTGCCTGCTGTTGCCCTGGGGCTCTGTGCACAGCCTGGTCTGGCAGTCCGAGGAGGCCTTGTCAAACACAAGCATGGTTAACTCGGTGTAAACTGTGTTACTGATCTGAGACTGTGGTGTGAACATCCTGGCCTGGGGAGATGGGTTTTTCCCTGGGGCGGGAGGGGTGTGGGGCATGCAGGGTGCAGGGGACTCCGAGGGGGCTCAGAGCCTTGGGGGGATGGTAGGGCAGGTGGACAGGTCACACAAGGTGCAGCATAGCCGCCTGGCCTATCTCTGGGCAGGAACATCTGTGGCACAAATGAAGCATTTGCCCCAATACAGGAAGGGAATGGAGCTGACTGGGCGGAGACCCCAGCACCACTTTCCACACCTCCAAACACCAGCACCCACCTCCCAGCAGCCACACTTCCCAGTCTCTCTTGCAGCTGGGAGCCATCCAGCCCTGGCTGAACAGCAGGGAGCGCAGATGTGGGTGGGCAGGAAGCAGTCTTCTGTGTGCACCGAGGAAGCCAACCAACACCACCACCCCAGGTTGACCAGGGATGAGTGGGCTTGGGCCCAGATGGAGTCCTGCAGCTACACAGCTGCCCTCTGCCTCGGCCTCAAATTCGCCCTGAGGAAGTTGTTTCGTACACTATCCCAGCTGTTTTGAGACACATACAGCACCCATTCCTCTGAGCTTCTCTGCACTGAGAACTGGCTTGCTGGGCAACTGCTCTTGTGTGTAGGGTCACGCCCCCGGGTACCCACATGTCCCCTTGTGTGCACTCTGCATACCGAGGGAAGGCTGACAGGTCACAGGAACACCTGCATGTGGTGAGGCCACAGGGCCGTGTGGACTGATGTGAGGTAGCGGGACGGGTGCCAGGACAGGTAAGAAGTGGCACAAGATCACATGGCACCTTGTTAAGTGTGACCAGGGCTCGCCTTCGAGTTTTGCCTTCCTTCTACTTCTTTTGAGGGTAAACTTATAATGTATTTTATTTTACTATTATTATTATTAGTCTCACTATGCAGTTCAGGTTGTTTCTGAGCTCATTTTGCAGCCCAGGCTGGTCTTGAACTTGCAACAATCCTCTTGCCTCAGCCTCCTAAGTGCTAGGATTACAGGCGTGAGCCACCACGCCTGGCTCCTATGATGTATTTTATGCAAGAAAATGACTGTAGTACTCGTGGTAATCCTTGCATGCTTACTGAATTCCTGGGACATCTTCTTTTCTGAGCTGCCTGCTGTGTCCCCGTCATTCACCAGCTGGCTGACCCTCAGGGAGCACCTGGAACTTCTGCACCCAGCTTTTCTGTAGCTGGAGCCCGGTACAGGGCTGGGGCTGGCTGTGGTCTCAAGCACCAGCTGTGTCTCAGGCCCTGCTTGGAGTTCCTGACCCCGTGAACAAAGCGAGGAAGACCCCGATCTCCAGACAAATGAACACCGCCACAAAAACAACATGAAACAAAACCAACAGAGCTCTCGGAAGCGGCATAGACATATTTTCATTTCTTTATTAGAAAGAGGTCTCTACACATAGCCACCTCTCTCCATTACTTTACACAGTTTTCTTTTCCTTTTTTTCCTTTTCCCCTTAGAATACTGTACAGCTGACACAGAAATCCCAAGGCAGGAAAATACAAACTGGCATATTTAATCAAAACAAGGTCATATGAAATAACAAGCAAAGTGAAATGTCTGTCAATGGTTTTAATTACAGTACAAACAATATAAATAAAGCATCATCGAGTCGTTGTGAAACAAAGTTGCTGAATGAGGTAATATAAAAAACCAGAACCAAAACCAAAAACTCAACCAAAATAAACCACCCCATCTCTGGATAAACCCCGGCTGCTCTTCTGTCTTCTATACACGGCTATTTACAGAAACCGGACGGTGTGCTAAAGGGGAGCCCGGACTCCCCTGCTCCCACCCAGAAAGGCGTCTGTCACCCCTGACCTGCTCCCGCAACCATTCTGGGGCTCAGCTCAGGGGCTGTGCAGACAGAACTCAGCCGGGTAAGGCCCGGGAGATCAGGGGTGCCTCCCTCCCCTTCATGACAGGAAGCAGTTTCTGAACCCACCCTTTGCCTCTCTGGTCCCCATTCTGAGGACAAAACTGCTGGGATCCGGAGAGTGAGCTCACATGAGCAGGAAGTGAGCCAGGGTGACCTCCTGGACTGGCCCTAGCTCACAGCACCCTTGGTCCCTTCTCTGTCTTCCTGGCCCAGCAGAGCAGGAAAGACAGGCCTTTTCCCTGGCCCCTTAGCCCCTTTACACTTTGCATGATGGACTGGTCGGTGCAAGGTAGCCCTTCCAGAGAGCCAGGGTCAGCTGCAGCATGAGCTTCCTGTGCCACTGTTCCCAGCAGCTGGTGGGGTATAGGGCTCTGCTCTGCAGGGGAAGATTTCCCAACAATCCCACTGCTTGGTTCCTTTCTTTCACCTGCACCAAGACCAAGGCCATGGAACACCTCAGTTTGGAATTCCAGGTCTGACTGTGTCAGGCGAGTCAATCATATGGCTTGATTTACGACCCACCCCCAGGAGGGGAGGGTCCCCTGCAGACACAGCACGCTAGGCCGAAATAAAAAACAAGCCCTGAGCCGACCTCCCTTCCTCTCTCTCACTCATGTGGGCATCGAGACGCAGGAGCGCTGGGAGCCCACCTCTTGGCGGAGCCAGTTGTGTGGGACCCCAGCCTCATGTGTGAGCACTGTGACAGGCAGGAGCAAACCCAGCCCTGCTACTGGCCCTGCTGAGAGGAGGAGGATTACCCCTTCCGTCACTGTCACTCCTCCAGCTGGGTGGGCGTAGCACTTAAACATTAAAACCCGGGCTTCTAAAAACTCCAGTAGGTAAAGAAAAAGAGTTGCTGGTTGTCTAGGATCCCTTTCTAGAACCCTCCATGGATGACTCTAATTTTCACTGTGACACAGAATGCAAACCCATGTTTGCTGGGAATCCGCTAAGATTTAGAGATGTATTTTCGGACAGTACTTCTTCATTAGAGGGAAGAATATGTGTTTCCCAGCACTAAGGTCCAAGGTGTTATTCTTTTCCCCATGAACTGAGAGATGGGGGCCCAGATGACCTGGCACTTGTTTCTCTGTAGACTCAGGGATGTCACTGTCTCAGGTCCAGCGCTTCCCTCCTGTACGGTGCCTGCAGTGAGAGTAATCCACCTCCCCCGAGACGCTGGGCCCTTCTTCACTCATCTGCTTCACTGCAAGGAATTCCAGGTCTTGGCTGGAAAAACTGCCTAATTTAGACACTTGGTGACAAGGACTTATCCCGAAAGGGCACTACGCAGAGGAGAGTGCAGACTGGAGGGTCAGCAAGGCCAGGAGGGCCACCACACCCAGTATCACAGTTGGGCCAGTGAAGGCACTCAGGAGCCCGGGAGAGACCCACTCCAAGGGTGGTGTGTGGTGGCCGCCTGTAGCCCTGACCGAGCTTCCTGGTGGGGGTGAGACTCTCGAGAACCACCGCAGGCCGCGCCTCTCTGTGACACCAGAAACCAGAATCTACAAGGCAGTGGGAGACAAATTTTGCTCCTCTGAAGGAAAGACGTGCGGCTCTGGAACATTTATACTCAAATTCCTTCCTGACTTGCTTTGCAATTTGTTTGCTTGAAGGCCACAGACACCAGCCAGGAGAGTTCTAGAAGTCTCTGTGACCGTGCGTAAGGGACGGAACAGCACACCAGGGTGGGCAGGAAGAGAGCCCACTGGGAGGCTACAGTTTGCTTTCCTAAAACCTCTGCATCCTGGGTTCTTGAGCCCTGACCCCCGCTCTTTCAGGAGACGCTATGGTGGGCTTGGACTCCCCCAGACAGAGATGTGCGGAGTCTCCTCATTCCCAGAGCAGCCCGAATGATAGGGATGGTGGTCACCCCGGTGAGCCAGGGGCTCAATGTCCTAGTGCACAAGCTCCCTGGGGGAGACAGAGGCAGAGGGGCTGAGACCATACTCAGCCAGTCGGGTATGTGGGTACCTGGCAGGGAAGGAGGAAAAGGGTGGTGATGTGTGTGTGTGTGGCAGCCTCCTGGTGTCCCCTGGTCTCCAGGCAACACTAGCAATTGGTAGGAAAGCAGCTCTCGCCCCCTTCTTTGCCTCTGAAAAGCCAGGGACAGTCTGAGAAGTGAGTGACCTCCAGAAGGGCTCCCACTGACTTTGCTGCTGGCACCCAAGGTCCCAGGAAAGGAAACCTGGGGCTGGGCAGAGAGCAGGCCTAACCAGGAGGGGCTGGCTCATGGCTGTCACCACCTGGCCAGGCAGTGAGGACAGGTGTCAGCTGGGGGTGGGTCCCTGGGTATGTCCTCTGCTCCTGAGCATCTGGCTCCCAGCAGGCCTGAGGCTAGCATTTCCCTGTCTGGTTAGGAACTGACTTCACCGCAAGCTTTGAAGACAAGGAATGCTGCTTGCCCAGCCAGGCTGCTCCCCAAGGAAGCACTGACAGCTCCACGCAGACACAGGTGTGGCCCTAAGGTACAGACAGTACACAGCTGGGAACCCTGGTGTCTGCACTGCGTGGCAGAGGCTGGAACCAAACTTACCTCGCCAATCTGGGCAAAAGCTGGCTACAGGTCTTGCGCATGTGCAGAAGAGTCCCTTTTGGGGGACCACAGGGAAGGGTGATTCGGACTGGGGTTGGAGCTCTGTGGTGGGGCCCTGGGCTCAATCTCCCCACTCCCACAGTGCCTCTTGGTCAGTCTTTCGGGGCCATATAAACATCGAGTAACTTTGCTGGGAGATGCAACACTGCATGGTTTTGGGGCCTGTCACCGCTCACCCTAAAGCCACTGATCCCTGGGACTGTAAGGGTACTGGGCTTGGTGACACCTGTCTGTGCCATTCGGGAGGTCTGCGCCATAGCACTGTTCTTCCTGCAGTGCTTCCCCGGCCAGTAGAGAATCTAGCTACCTCTGTGCCTCTCACTTGCGGTTTGGGAAACAGTAACTAGAAGGGGTGCTGCCTGGACAGGGGGAGATGGACACGTCAGGCAGCTGCATGACTATCCCTGTGTATACGATGCCTGTGTGTCCTCCCGGTCTACTGTTCCTCATCACGGGACTATTTGTATTTTGAACAGAAAAAGGTCTGTGGATTCTGTGGTGGTGGCTTCCCCCATCACCGTCACCTCAAGGAGCAGAACATGGACATGAACCACGAGACCTGACCTCTGTCCCACGCTGCGTGCATCTACAGGAGGCCCTAGGTCCTTGCTCTGCTCAGCGCTGGTGTTAGTGAGCTGTAACCCAGATAGGAGCGTCATGCGCAAAGGACCGGAGTGATGCTGATACAGACACATGGACCACTGCTGGCTCCCTGTACTGCCACTTCTTCTACCGTCTTTCCAGCTCTTGCCAAACCTGGGGCTCAGGAGGGAGAGGTGGCCTCTTGGTGGAAATCAACGTGATGTCACTACACATGGTAGGGAGGGGCCCTAGCCCCTGGGTGGGGTGGATGGGTGGGTGACATCCTGTGCTGGAGGAAAGGAAGGGAAACACCAATCACCGATCTAACTTTCAGAAGGCGAAGTAGAATAAGAAGTCATTTGGGAAAATATTATATTATAAACACATATAATAATATGTACACACTCATATACACCCCAAAGCGAAGCCTCACAAGGAATCCCGTTTCTTTTCAAAAGAAGGCTCCATTATGATAAAGCATTCCTACAGTGGGAATTAACTACAATGAAATAATTTAAGAATTTCATTTATACTCTAGCTGTGTTCTCTACAGAAAGTCTACGGTCAAGGCTATGCAGAGGTGAATGTGTAGGGAAGGATTAGATGCTAATGTGGTCTTCAAAAATAGGCAATGATGGTTTTTTTCTCTCTATTCACATTTAAAATAACTACACAGTGAGAAAAAGCAGAATTAGAAACCCAATGGCAGGGCTATGAAACCGTGGCCGAGGTCCTCAGTCTGGGGCTTCTGCATACTGGTCAGTTCTGCTGAGCTTAAGATGAGAAATCTCCATCCAACACTTACCCACATATAAATTCTGTGTAAAGCTTTATTCTTTCCCCATCTAAATTTTTTTTAAAAAGTGAAAGAAGAGGAAAAGTTCTTATAAAATATAAGGTTCAGTACATAGGAGGAGCAAGGCATCTCTCAGGAGGCTGCCGGTCAAATGTGGCTTCAAGTCCCTGTGCTACGCCAACCCTGGGTCCTCAATTCCCACCATGACAACCTTTCCTCCTCCTCACACCACTACAGGCTCGAGGCCACGCTGCCACTGCCCCTTGTGATCTGATTTTCTCTCTTGGCCCACCTGGCCAGGGTGGCCCTGATGATGGCGGGCCAGGTGTGGCATGTACCAGAGTCGGACTGTGCCTGCCTTCGCACCCATTTCTCAGGTGCCCCTGCAAGGCACCTGTTCTAGGAGTCACAAAAATCACCCCAGCCTGCCCGGGCCCATCACTCTTGGTTAGCAGAAATGTAAATCATGCCTTCGAGAATGAAAATTCACATGCTCCTTCCCCTCTTTCCAAAATGCTTCAATGTCTTTCTTTTTTTTGCCTTTCTCCATTTTAATAAGCAAATTGTACCACCATCTTATTCTGATATGTTCCTCTTTAAAAGCTGTATATCACATTAATGGAAGTGTTTACTGCTGGGAATATTTTCCATGTACAATGATCTGTAACCCTCTTATCTCAACTAGTTGCACATTATTAGTTCACATCCAGTTCAATTTATGAATTAACAGAAGTGCCATTTGTCTTTACAAAAATCAATGCATATTTATGAACTTCTTTTATTCCAATAGATTTTCAGAAGCCTGGCAACGCAGGCTGTGCGGCCCTGGAGTGGCTGGGGCCCAGCACACTCACCTGCACCAACGGGCAGAACATCTTTCTTACATTCAGAAAAAAATAGCCCACTACGTGTTTACTTCCTTTACCAAATGCACTGGAGAAGCTTTACCAGCTGAATCTGCGATTTCCTTCTGAATTTCCAAGTTACATTTATTTATTTTTTTTTCCATTTTGTTTTTGCACCAAGGAGACTGCAGTCAAATAATACTCAGCAACTGATTTCCTCTCTTTGGACTGAAAAATTAAACAGATACTAAATTATGACAGTGAATTTAGAAAGGAGGGCTCCAAGGGCTCGAAAGAACATGTCTGGGATAATATGATGCTTCTAAGAGTATTGCAATCACATCGTGGCAATCACCGGAGCGTGCCGCGTAACTACCTCCTCGGCTAATATGCTTTCTTCTCAGTGATGACTAATCATGTTCTATTAAACAGCGGTAATGCTGGAAGAACTCAACTATACAAGTGTAATGAAGCCAGTATTCTCCCTGGACAGATTAGCTACAACTGATTTGACACATACCATCATAGGGGCTTCAAACCTGACAAACTCTGTGCTTGCTTCTGATTTATGCCGTCAAGCTCCTCGGAGAAGAGATGAAATCCAAGTGCTCCGTTTGGTAGAGGTGAAACGTACTCATGTGCTTAACTGCCAGTTAGGGAGCATCGCCCCTTCTCCTTGTTCCGTGCTCCTCACTCGAGCCCCTCCCCGCCCCGTCCCTGGCCTTCAAGCCCGCTCGGCCTCCAGGCCACCAGGACGGGCCGTGCTGTGTGCTATCATCATCAAACCCCCAGGGCCCGAGGGTCTGTCCTGTGCGCTGTCGCTGGAGTCTGAAAAGGAATCGGTTCCTCGGCCTCCTGGCCTCCTCTTCACCCCTCGGGGAGGTCCGGGTTTGGAGGTTTCATGTGGGGTGAGTAGGCGGCTGGACAGGAGGTGACCACCGGGAAGAGGGAGGGGGATGTGGCAGGACTCACGTGCTGTGACTTCCTGGGTGTCAGATGATGCTGGGCACCCTCCCGCTGCTGTTGTTCCGGTTGTTGTTTTTCCGGGACAGGTTGGGCGTGGCCATGAGCGCAAAGCGCTCGTCCGGGCAGCCGTACTGCAGCAGGACATCCACGCACTCTTGGCTGGACGCCTGCCGGGCGTAGGCCAGCGCCGTGTTCCCGTGCGCGTCTCGGGCCATGACGTCCACCCCGTACTGCAGAAGCGACAGGGGCTTGTCAGTGTCACAGGGTGTGTGTGTCACCGCTGGGAAGGGATGGGCCGTGGGGACTGGGGCGGGGGAGGGGGGCCTGGGTGGGGGACAGCGGCTGTCAAGCGCTGCTGGTCGCTGAGCCTTGAAGGTGCCCTCACCACCCAGAGTCCTGGGTGGTGCGACAGAATCAGGGCATCGATGACTTTGGTTTTTGCTATTTCTATTCTGACTTTCCAGTTAAAAAAATTAACCATCTTTTAAAAAAATCTCAGAGAGAATTCATTTTCATTACAGAAAATAAGTAACATAGGAGGCTGTAAGGGGGAAAAAAATCACCTATAATCTCATCAGAGATAACCTTTGTGGATAACGTAGAATAGTTCCATCTAATGGGTTTCTTTCAATCCAAATGTATAAATGAATAAAAGAGAAGACTGTAAATTTTTCTTTTACTGAATGGACTGTGATCATTTCCTTACATCACTAAAAATTTCTCTAAGAAATGGCTCATAATAGCTGTCTAGTATTCCACAGGATGAACAAAATTCAGCTATTCTATGTTTAATTATTGCACATTTTGCTCAAAAACCGTCTCAAAAGAAACAGTGCTGTGAAGAGAAGCCTCATTTTAATCTTTTGTAGGTTTTCAAAGTGAAGGGAAAATATAAGCCAACACCACGGAACATTATCTTGTGGTTTTTTTTTGGTACCATGAATTGAACTCAGGATCTTGCGATTGCCAGGCAGGTGCTTACGCTGCTGAGCTACATCACTGGCCCCTTTTTGTTTTCCTTTTTGAGAATGAGTCTCATTATGTAGTGCTGGCTGGTCTTGAGCTCACAGCGATCCTCCTGCCTCAGCTTCCTAAGTGCTAGGATCACAGCTGTGTGCCACTATGCCCAGTATCATGGAACATTTTTAAGCTTCTTGCTTTCGAAAAAAGGTAAGTTCACTCCTGCCTCTGCCATTCTGTGTGTCTTTGCACACACTTGTCTGAGTGTAAAGCGTGGCCAATGAAAGACCACCTGAAAGGCCACCCTGAAAAGGACACTGGCCTGCAATTTCTTATGAGTGGAACTGGGTCTCCCAAATTGCTATGCTGATGTCCTCAACCCCAGAAACTTGGAATGTGACTGTCTCTGTCACACTCCAATGGCACTGATGTCCTTATGGGACGTGGAAGCAACAACAAGAAGACACCATGAGGGGACAGTTACCAGCAGCAGGTGCCACTGCTTGCCAAGGGGAGGCCTCGGAGAAAGCAGCCCTGCCCGCCCTGATGACACAGCCAGCTCCAGTGCCTCGGGAGCAAATGTCTGCCAGGCCAAAACTCAGCCTCTGCTGTTACGTGACTGTGGCCCAAGCCAATGGGAGAGTCGTTCCTTAAATAGTACGCAGTCACCCTTGTTACTATCACAGGAAAATGAGGCTGGGTATTTGAGTGACTTTGGGTCAGTATCTGCATCTAATCTAGTTTTCCCAGGGTGCCCACTGCAAAAGGAGATCAGAAGCATGCAGAAACTTCCATTACTTGAGTCTGGACTCCCTATCAGGAACTGTGCCCCATTTAGAGGAGGGCACCAGCAACAGAGTAAGGAGGACAGGGCCCCAGCAGGTCCCGCCCTATGAGGCCCCACCCCCACTGACCACGCCCTACTGGGTCATGCCCCAGCCAATCTCAGGACAGGGTTGCTAGCTCTAACCACCTCCAGCCCCACCCACAGGACACGCCCACTCCTAGGCCCCACCCACTCCCCCACCTCTGCCAGCACCTACCCAGATGAGCAGCTGGGCCAGGACCACGTTGCCCTTGCGGCAGGCCAGGTGCAGTGCTGTGCGACCGTCGCCTTCCCCGCAGGTCTCGTTCACCTCGTCCCGCGAGCCATGTGCCAGCAGCAGGATGACTGTCCTCAGGTCCTCATCGGCTGTGGCACGCAGCAGGTGCTGGCCCAGGGCCAGCTCTGTGCAGGGCAGGGGCGCCAGGAAGAGCTTCTGTTCGTACTTCGCCCGGATCCACCGCTCCTTCTCTTCCCTGCAAGAGTCCCCGGACAGGTGTGGTCACCACTGAGCATGGGAATTCCGACTGCAGCCTTCTGCTGCCAGACCAACAGTCAGGAGGCATGGGAAGAGAAGTGACAGGGCCAGGGTCACCACACAGCACAGGCAAGCTGTCCCCCACCCAACCTTAGGGCATTACCCACGGTTCCCAAAGTGGCACCTGCGTGTCCTGCGTGATTAGGACAGAAGGACCTGGAGCCGGAGTCCAGGGCAGGACAGTAGGTGGCCTCCCCACCTGGGGGGGGGGGCTGTGTGCTCCTGGCTGCCAACTCCTCTGCCACGTGGGGTGGGATGGAATATGTGGTTTCCTTGGGTTGAAGGAAACACCATGGGAGGGAGGGCCATGCGGGAATGGCAGGGGCTCTGGGGGCTAAGCTTGGTGACTGCAGACACTTCTCTAATCTCTTTAGCAGCTTGGGAAAAGGTGGCAGAAGGCCAAAACTTCCTCAGGCAACAAAGAACAGCTGGCTTTTCTGAGGACAGGGGACCCGGGGCCCAGCCTGAGGAACAAGGAGGTAGCCCCCAGGGGACAGAGGACAGGGGAGCTAAAGCAGCCAGGGGAGCTATCTGGCTCTCCTAGGGATCTATGGAGGATCTGGAAAGAGGGCTGGGAAAAAAGAGGAGAGGACAGATGGGACGAGGAGCTGGGGAAAAAGTGGGTTTGGTTTCTCAAAAAGGGAAAAAAAAGTATCCAAAAATAGACACTAAAAACCTGGCAATCTTCCAGATCAGGGATGGCGTACCTTTAGAGACCCAGTGCCCAAACTGTAACTAAAGCCCACTTATTTATTGCAACACTGCAGTTAAACCTGAGTACTGAGGTTGTAGTATAGAAATAACAACCGTTCCCCAGCGACTCGGCTGGTGTGTGCTGACTGACTGGCTGGTGTGTGCTGACTGGTGTGTGCTGACTGTGCGTGCCTATGGTGGCAAGCATACCAGCACCGCCGGGGGGAGCAGGGGAGCAGGGGAGGGCCTGCCCATGTAAAAAGAACAATGTGAGATTGTACAAGTGGCTCTTGAAATTTTACAAGTAGCCTGGGGTGTGTTCCGTGAGGCTGCCTGCGACCTTTATGATGAGGGTGATGAGGAAAAGCCCAACATGTGTGGAGAGGCTGTAATTACAGGAGCTTCAGCCAGACACTGATTCACAAGTGGCCTCTCCGAAAACCCAGAACCCCCTCTGGGGGGACAATCAGGGCGCACAGCTCCCAGCTACTTGAAGAGCACTTAGGCCTTCTGCCTCAGTCTAGAAAGGAAACTCATTACCCGTGACATTTCTGCTTCCGAAGTACAGAGACCAGGCCTTGTTTACGCCTTTTCCTAGTGTTTACACTGTGCCCAGGGATCCAGTGTCGGGTGAGCCCTAATCTGTTTCTAAATACTTAGGCAAACAGAACCTTCCAGGGGTAAATCTGGATTAGTTTTGCTTCACTTCCTGGTCCATGGGAGTGACCCCACAGTGACCCCGGCACTGTTCATTCAGGGATTTCCAGGGCAAACACTCTGCTGTGGCTGAGGGCTGAGCAGCTGTGCGGCAGCCACAAATGCATCCTACACTCCGCTCCACTTGGGCAGAAACATGGGCACACAGTGTGGCAGCATCCAGGAAGCCCCACTAAGGAGAAAGGCAAAAAAAACCCTGGTGGCTCGGAGAGCCTTGAAGAAAACCTATTTATAGCATGTTAGATGTTTGTTGGTGCATTTCATAAATCACAAAGGAGAGAGCAAAACATGAATTCAGTGAGAAAGGATAATGGTGCAGGCTGTGATTTCCCAGTTCCAATTTGCTAACTCTCATTTTTTGGGGGAGGGGGTAGATATTAAAATCAGGCTGTCTTATTCTGCTCCGATTGATTTTAATAGTCATTGCCAAATCATCCAGAGATAAAGCAGAGAACTTAACGCAGGGACTCCAGTCCTAACTGCAGTTACTACATTTTCTTCTTAATAAAGCCAGTGTGAAGCCCTGGCTCTGAACCCACTGCTCTGGTCTCTTCGCTAGAAACTGTGCGTGACTCTGTCCTCAAATGCAGTTACCCCATAGGACGCTCACTGGAATTTAGGGCCGTGCGTGCACAGGGAACCAACTGTTCTTTGCTTTTAAAATTATCAGCACTGTTTTGGACACAGAATGCAGGTGGGTCCAGGTTTCGTAGGGCTGAAAACCGTACGAAGCTTTTGGGAGCCATCTTTGAAAGGAAGGTTCTAGAGTTGCACCCCTGAAATTAGGAAGAAGACCCGAAAAGAAGGTGGGATGGAAGGGCAGGGGGATTTTGGTGTGGACAAGGAAACCCGACTCATGCACAGCAGTCCGAGATGCTGGCAGGAAGTGGAACAAAGGCTGTGTCTCAGCAGGCTTCTCTGCAGAGCTCGCCTCGGCTGGCCCCATGTCCAGAAAGACCTTCATTTTCCACCTGGACGACCCCCAGATCTGCTCGGTGAGTGGCTGTCACTGCTGAACAGAGTGAACACACGCTTCCCTGGAACCTCGTGTGCTTTCCCACTACGGCAGCCTGCGGTATTTCATAGGTTCTCATCACCACGAGGTCGCCAGAAAGCTAAGGGAGGCCACTGGCCTCATGTCTGCATCAGAGGTTGACTCTTGAGCAATCCAGCGAGTATGCAGACCAGGCCTAGCAGGAGCAGTAGGGCTTGGGGGTGCTGAGTACCCCATTCCCACTCAAGCACTTACTCTTGTCAGAAGCCACAGTCCACTGGGGCTACTGTTCACTCCAATAGTAAGGGCTCACTCTGAGCTCTCTGCCTTTTCTTAGGTGGCCAAAAGGAGGGAACAGAAATCTCCCTGTGTTGTAGGCATAGGAGGCTGTGGTTTCCAACTTTACAGGGGATTGCGGTTTCAGCACCACAAAATTGTGGTGCATGGTTTTGCCTTTCCCATAACTTCAAGATGGGTCAAAGACCCTTCTTTCCTCATCTGTAAAATGAGCCGAGAGACATCTGCCCCAGGCAGGGCTTTTTTGGGATCTGAGGTCACATATCTGGACCATGTGCTGGCCACTTTGTGAACAAGTATTGGCACTCTGATGAGACAAAAATCTACTTCTACTCCCTCTGTACCATTGTCAGACACACAGCTGGGTGGTGTGTGTCCCCAAGGTGCAGAAGTACCTGCTGGGTGTGGGGCATCCCAGGTCTCAGCTGGGTCAGTGTGCAGAGGGGGCTCCTTCTGTTCAGGGGTCTTCACAAGCCGCCTGGTGACCTATCAGCCTTCCTGAGGATACAGAGGGCCTGGAGACCCTGGGACCCAGGTTGTGGCCAGCTGTCACAGTTGTTGGGGCCAGGATGGTTTGCTCTTTCCACAGCCTTGAGATCTAGTTTCTTGGATATTATGGTCTGACTTGGGCTCCTCCTCCTGGACTCTACTGAAGCCTTAATCCCCAGGGGGACTAGCTTTGGAAAGAGTGTCTGCAGGAAGATCATTATGATCAAACAGGGATGAATTCTGGGGTTACTTTTCCTATTGCTGAGACAAAATACCCAACACGTAAAGTTAAAGGAGGAAAGGTTTATTTGGCTCACAGTGTGTGGAGGTTTCAGTTCATACTTAGCTGGCTCCAAGGCAGGGTGGCACATGGCAGGTGAGCAACCATTCATGGTGGGCAGAAGGTAGCAAAGGCAACAAGGGACCTTAACAGCCTCTCCTTTTATCTTATTCAGGTGATTTAGAGCAGGTGGCATTCACACCCTTAATCCTAGTGCCCTCAATCCTAGTACTGCACCACGAATCAGTTCCAGTGTCACACACTCTAGATCTGGCCATCTCATTCTGAGTTACCTATGACCGAATAAGGTTTTAGGGGGACATCTAGGCACAAGCTGTAATATTGCCCCAGGGCCCCAAAGACTCATGCATATCCTTTTGTGCAACAGGCATTGTGTGAGTCCACAGGTTGCAGTTTTTAGAGAAGCATATCCAGGGAAGGCAAATCCATGTCCAGAATGCATGTTTATGCCAGTGAGGACAAAGCACAGTCCCTTCCAGGATGGAAGTGGCCCAGAATAATCAACCACCAGGTTGGTCACGCCGGGGAATGGTGCCATGTTGGTCTCTGCAACTGGCATACTGGGCATTCAGCAGTGGCTGTAGCCAGATCAACCTTGGTGAGTGGGAGCCCATGCTGCTGAGCCCATACAAAACCTCCCTCCGGACCACCAAGGCCACTCTGTTCATGGGCCCATTGGGCAGTGACAGGTGGCTGAAGAAGGAGGTTGATCACTATTTACAGAATAAGTCATTTTATTCACTTGGCTATTAAAGTCCTGGTGTGCTCAGGTCACTTTTTGGTGGGTATTAGTTAGCATAGGAAACAAATAACTTTACATACTTTGCCCATATGGAGAGGTCTACCACATATTTCTTCCCCAAATATCTTTGTCACTGATTTTCTAGCTATGTTCCTTTTCAGTTCCTGATCATCTGGCCAGACCACTGGCCACAGCCCATGAGTTCTGCTCACTGTGATGACTTTCCTTTACGCTGTCCTTCAGGGATGTCCCAGAAAGGGGCCTATATGTAATGCTGCAGCTGTCCACTTGCAGGTGGTGCCTGTATAACATGCAGAGCTATTCATAAACCAGGCCCTAGCCTTCTCTTCCTCTGACAGCTGATCACATGTACACCCCACGAGGCCATAGGTACATGCTGGGAAACAGAAGGCAACATAGCAGGGGTAGCAGCCTTAGAATCTGACCAACTTCCTCATGTAATTTACTTGTACCTATTGGAGGTGCTCTGGCTCAATCACATACATACCATTTTCATTTAATGATAGACTAGTGCTGTGTACATCCAATCTTATGACTTGGCGGGTCAGATTATACCTAGATCATGAAGGCAGCTCAGGTTGCAAGGTGACCTGGTGTCCCATAGTCAAGCGTTCAGTTTCCATTAAGGCCCAGTAGGAGGCCAGGAGCTGTTTTTCTGCAGATGATGGCAGAGCCTTGCTCCAG